CATCTGCTCCTTATTCAGAGTTTTTAAACTGGATTCTCAGACTTTCTGTCTATTCAGTGCTTAGTAGAGATAAAATAATCATAGTGGGTGACTTTAATATTCATGTAGTGTTAGGGTGATTTTTATTTTTAGACAGAAATGAATAAAATTAGTTAGGGTTTTTATTATATAGCAAGAACTTTCTTCTCAGAGATGCCGACAATGACAGCCTCAACAATGCATTCTGTTCATTATTAGACTCAGTTGGCTTTTGTCAAACTGTAAATAAACCACTCACTGTTTTAATCACACCCTTGATCTTGCTCTAAAGACAGCTGGTCATGGACACATTAAGAAGAATAAAGAGAGAAATCTGTCAGCTTCATTTACTGATCTGAAGCCGTGGTTTAGACTTGACTCTCCCGTTATTGGTCCTTCAGTCCGTCCTTCCTCCAATCGTCCTCTCTGCTCTAATCATCGTGGACAGTGCCCTACGAAGGGGTAGAATACCTGTTCTACTTTAATTCCTACATACACACTCACTTCTTCCTTTGTTTTCAACTAACTGCTCCATATTACGCATTGCTTTCCGTTTCACTTAATTAAAACTGTTCTGCCTGCGTGTGTGTGTGTGTGCATAACTGTTCTCCCTTTGAAGCTTTCTCATCTACGTCTAATCTATTTTAATAAACTTGGAGCCTTACCGTACCAAGACTCCTTTGGTTCCACCAGTCCAGAGGAACGATATGTAACTATGAGCTCCCTTAGTTTCAGCCATAAATCTAATGAAATTCAGTAATTTAGTGGACAAGACTTATGATGTTGCATTAGTGTTTCAGTGACTCACACAGCAAATATTTGACCAGTGGTTCAGTGAACACATAGGGTGATATTCATAACTATATAAACATAACTGTGACATATAAGTATGTAAACTTATGTGTGCTACAAAATAAAACCATTTTTAAGTGCATAAAATAAAAATCACCCTAACACAGACCAGAGTCTCCAGGATCCAGCTGTCCTTCTATGAAGAGTGACTGGTCCAAAGAGGTGAATCCACCAGAGTTCAGTCCTGGACCTGGACCCTCGGACACAAAGTAAGAGACCTGCCATTCAGTAATTTCCTTAACATTCCAGACTGTGGTTAATAATTGTTAATGACGCTGATCTGAGCACATTCAGGTGGCCCCTACATGTTACTGGGCTCCAGTGTGAGGCTTGGTCATGGTGCCAACAAACACTTCTTCACTGACAGTTTATACAAATCAGATGAGCTTGTCTGATGCCTCAGTAAATCCTCTGTTAAACTGATCAGAACCTGAGCAAGTTTCAGTAAATATCCCCTGGGGGCTTTAAACACAGAAGCTGAAAGGAGTTTTCAGCCAGCTCTACATATTATAGTTCGTGAGCCTCAGACAGCTGAATCTGCTTCATTTGCTCTTCTGCTGCTAATGTGGATTTGAAAGCACTTGGCCAGTGAACAGAGCCATAATGAAGAGAATGGATTCATGGAGACATGAACAGTCTTTGCACCAGTTCAGAGGAAATCCTTGGTTTTTCCTGTAGATCAAGCTCAACTGTGTCCAAATTCCACAGTGTGTCTACCAAAACTCAAATCACCTCGGGGTCGACTGCTCGTGAAGAATGAGAAGTTCATGAACTGTAGAGGACTCTCTGGGTCTTCCTGTCCTGGGGAGGTCCTCGTGAGAGCTGGTTTCATCAGAGGCTTTGATGGTTTCTCTGGCTGCACTTGACAAACTGTCACAGTTTCTTGTTTTGACTGATGAAGTAATAATGAAGGAATCATCAGTTCTTGTTACTTCATTTAGTCGACGCTGCCATAATGTGGATTCCTACAGTAGTTGAGTAGCAGCACTAACTCCATACAACACAACTGATGGTCTCAGACACATAAAGTTACCTTGTCGCAAGACACACCTGGTAAGTGAAAACTGTCCAGTGTTGTGTTGTGTCACAGTTTTGACATCTTGAGTTTAAATCTACAATGTGAACAGTAACAGAAACAAAGAAAAGCCAATGGATGAGACGGTGTCTGAACATTTGACTGGTGCTGTAAATGTAAGGAAAGAGCTGGATGCAGCTAGTGAGTTGAGGGTGGTCGACTGCTGATGTCTTGTATAAAAAATGTGTTGATGTCCGCAGAAGGAGGAAGAGGAGTCATGGCTCTGAGGAACGAAAGCTGTCCCGCTGTGCTTGGTGTCAGGACATCCCGAAGGACCCAGTCTCTACCAGCTGTGGACACTGGATTTGCAGACAGTGCTTGACCTCATACTGGGACCAGTCTGGCTCATCAGGACAGTCCTCCTGTCCCCAGTGTGTAAAAAGGTCCAGAATAAGTGAGACTGTTTTTCTTGTCATAAGTTTTGACTGGGAACTTCACAGTAGAGATTCTGTGTAAGGCAAAATCATGTTTAACTGTCTCTTGTCTTTCAGCCGGTGGTGGTCTGCACGAGGTGCTGGATGAACATAAGATCAGTCTGAGGAGCAGATGTGAACATGTGACTGAAGGAACTGATGGAACAGGAAGTGAAACCCTCCTCAACAGGATCTACACTGAGCTCTACATCACAGAGGGACACAGTGAAGAGGTCAATACCCAACATGAGGTGAGGCAGCTTGAGACCACTTCCAAGAAGAAGACCCTCCAGGACACTCCAATCAAGTGCCACCAGATCTTTAAAGCCTTCCCCGACCGACAGGGACACATCAGAGCAGTCCTGACAAGAGGCGTCGCCGGCGTTGGTAAAACCTTCTCGGTGCAGAAGTTCACTCTGGACTGGGCAGAGGGCTTGGAAAACCAAGATGTCAGCCTGCTGGTTCTGCTCTCGTTCAGGGAGCTGAACCTGATCAGACATGAGCAGCACAGTCTTCTCACGCTGCTCCATGTTTTCCATCCAACCTTACAGAAGGTCACAGCAGAGGAGCTGGATGTCTGTAAAGCTCTGTTCATCTTTGACGGCCTGGATGAAAGCAGACTTTCACTGGATTTCAGCAGCAGGGAGGTTGTGTCCGACGTCACCCAGAAGTCCTCGGTCAGCGTGCTGGTGACAAACTTCATCCAGGGGAACCTGCTTCCCTCAGCTTTCGTCTGGATCACTTCCCGACCCGCAGCGGCCAATCAGATCCCTCCTACATGTGTGGACAGGGTGACAGAAGTACGAGGCTTCACTGACACCCAGAAGTACGAGTACTTCAGGAGGAGGTATGGTGATGAAGAGCTGTCCAGCAGGATCATCTCCCACATCAAGGCCTCCAGGAGCCTCCACATCATGTGTCAAGTCCCCGTCTTCTGCTGGATCACTGCTACAGTTCTGGAGCACATGTTGACTACAGAGCAGAGAGGAGAGCTGCCCAAGACCCTGACTGACCTGTACTCACACTTCCTGCTGGTTCAGACCAAGAGGAAGAAGCATAAGTACAGTGAGGGACATGGGACGAGTCCACAGGAGCTGACAGAGGCTGACAGGGACATTCTTCTGAAGCTCGGGAGCCTGGCGTTTAAACATCTGGAGACAGGA